CAAAGCAGGTGTTCCGACAGAGCCAGCTGTGCCTCCAGCTGGAAGAAACCCAAGTCAGAAGAGACAAGTTTTGGTGCCTCAGCCAGAGCATTCACATGGGTAGAACTGCTCCTTCACAGAGGTCAAAAGAAGGACAACCAGGTTCATTCCTACTTTAATGCAAACCAGCATTTCAAGCAGATCCAGCTGAGCCGATGCTGCGACACAGCCCTTATTTAGCACAAACCCAAAGGCTCCGGGCCGTGTTCTCAGCGCGGCAGGAGCAGACATAATCCACGTCTCTCAAACGCAGAATCGCAATCTGGCAAAGCAAGCCAAGAGCAACTTCCAGGTAAAGGCAACCCATTCCAGCTCCCACAAATCCCACAACTGGCAAGTCCCGCTCAGTTAGTCAGCACTTTTCAGCACTTGAATGCTGGCCAGATGGTAATCTACCCCTAAAAGAGTAACCTCTGTGCTTGGCACATAGGTCTTATAGAGTGCTGTTACATTTGTAACCAAACCAAAAATGTTTTTAAGCTATTTATTAGCACTAGCAAAGCATCCACACAAAGATTACAGGTGTCCTAAGAAATATTACACCATGAAAATTGCAAATGATAATTGCACTACCTATAAATCAGGTTTTTTGCTGTCAAAGGACCACAACTTCAGGATAAACATCTTCTAAATGTTAACTTAGGTGGGAAGACAGATTGAGAGAAAACTTTTCCACCAATAATTACATTAAAATAATTCTGATTTATTTTAGTATTTTATTTCAAAACACCCAGTGTTAGACATTATTTTAAACTGAGGTTGCCCAGAGACTGCTCAAGCATGACAATTACATATTCTTTTTAAGGATCTCCACGTAGCTTTCAGAAATGTAATAACGTTCCTTTAAAATTCTCACTTTCATGTTTTAGTTTTTAATCTCTCCCCTAAAACATAAAGTCAACTCTTTATATGACCTATTAAAATATTTTTTTTGTTTTCTTTCTTTATGAATATTTACATTTTATTTTTTAAATAGTGATAAGAAATTTAAATATACAGACACCTTCCTCAAATTTATGAATCCTTTCAGCAATGGACCTCTGGCTAAGAAAATTTTAAAATATATAAACGTCTGAAAGAATAATTTCTAATATTTCTCTTCTAGAAATTAGTTATTATGTACTGACACCAACCCAGTCCCCTCCATCTGAACTTCAGACAAAATCAGTTACGTTTCTTCTTAATAAATGGTTTCCCTTCAAACACGGTATTCAAGGAACTAAATAGGAAATTTCTTAAACGTGCTGCTTTTCCTGCGACATCTGAAAACAAGGGGTGCCCTCTGCTGTGCCGGGAGTGGAAGTTCACCCAAACCTCGGCGCAGCATCTCTGCCCGGCTGGGACCAGCGGCCTGGCCAAGCCAGAGGCTGCACATCTCTGCTTCTGCACACGGACAACTTTCTGTCCGTGTCACCGCGCCCTGACACGCACCTGATGGTTTGCACCCTCTTAGTGTCACGTAAAAAGTCCCAACAGAGCAGCTTTACCCCCCTGTTGGCACATACAGCTGACTAGCAGCAAAGCTAACACAGTGCTAACTCATTTCTACCTAAAAAGACACTTGACAGACTTCACCACACACATTTTAAACATTTTTAGGCTATTTAGTGCACAAAAACGTGCATTTATTCTTAATTAGTTACTTCATTCTTACATTTTCTTTGAACTTTGGCAACTGAGAGAAGAACGCAGCTGAAGATCCATTTCTCTACCTGTAGCAACAAAAAGCATCACATCCTTCCTAAAAGGCAAGGTTTCCTATTTTGCTAGGCAGATAGTTTTAATCTGTAAATAAAGGTAACACCTAAAGCATTTCCTTCTGTCCTTCTAAAAGAACCTTAAACTTTTGTTGTTGCTGTTGTTGTTCAGTTTATAATGCAAAACTTACGTATCATAAAAATGCAGAAGGAAAAAGCAGTAAGAATTGAGCTGTCTGCTGTAGAAGAAGTTAAATATCATGTGGGTCTATCAAAATATTTTGCTTACCAAGTTGCCACCTTTTTAACAATTTTAATCAGCATTTACATGCCTGCTCTGTAAATTTCACTATTTGCAAAACAGTAACAACAGAACAGTAAACTGAACGTAAAAACTAAAACACAAAGACGGACCCCTAAAAAGTTACCAACACAGCAAGACACCACTAGGCAACTCTGAAGCAAGGTCAGCAGTACACATCAGTGCTGTGCCCAAAAAACTTAAAAGTTTTAGGAAAAATATCATCATGCTTTTTGAATCATCTGAAGACATGCCCATTTATCAAGTTTACTTATACCTGCCTAAAATAAGCCATTGTTCCACAAACGAAAGAAAAACAGCTGGCAGAGGAAATCTGTACAGAGACATTATCAAGCTTCTCCCCAAAAGAACAAGAAACATTAAGGACCCAAACAGCACCTCTGGCTCTTACTGGGTGAAGCACAGCAAAAGACAGGCAGCGCTTTGGGCCTGTTGATTTGCCAGCTGAGATAAGGAATGTGTGGCTCAGGTAAGGGATAAGCAAGACCACACTCCTCGTGCTTGAAAGAGCAGATCCTGCTGATGCAGGAAGGGGATGCAGCTAGAGCCACTGCACCCTCCTCTGAGGGGAGCCCCACTAGCACCAGGGTTGCTCCCAGCTGTGGGAAAGTTTATTTACCAAATAACACACTTCATAGCAATCAAAAATCAGTTAAAAGTGGTGAAAATGTAATTTCAAGGAAACCACACAAAATGAACAGATTACTCTGCAAGTCAGATCCCTTTCATTTTCCTCATTTCAATATGCCACTTTCCTCTGCTACTTCATTCTCACCAAAATCCACTCCCTCTTGTGCACACTCTTCAAAGAGCAAACAGTGAATAATCATCAATGACACCCAGGCTCACAGAGAACTAAATGGGCTAAGAACAGCATGAAAGTAGAGTCATGATTATCTTCATCTCCTTGTTCTGCTTTGAACATCACTGGGACACTGCAAAGCAAGTTACTTTTCTTCCTCTGGTTCAAGTGAAAAAGTACTTCAGCAAAGTGAAATTCAGAGCTGTAGTCCAGATATTCATTTTTCATGCCTAGTTTGATTTCTAGTATTGCATTATTTTATATTTGTACATGTAATTCCACTTGGAAATGATGCTGTGAATACTATGTAACATTTGAGTTCGTTAAGAAGCTTCAAAGGCTTGATGACTTTGTAGACAGAAAAAGAAAAAATGTTTCCAGCTTCTTACTTGAACAGAAAAACAAAAAAGGGGGGAAAATCAACTTCCCAAATCCCTACGGTAGGGATTCCAAATTCCTAAGGTAGCATTCAGTATCTCCTACAGCTGGATCAAGTGATCCCCTTCCTAAATTCTTCTGTGGACAATCCCCTGGACACCACCTGAGCCAGCATCCTGGGTTAGCAAACTTTTGATCTTCGCACAGCCAGCTTTGATAGTGTGGATTTTCAATGGAAAACAGAATATTACAGATTGTGCAGTAATCTGGGATATCAGGTCATGGATTCAGTGACAGGCATTTCCAGTTCTACACGCCCACTACCACACCAGTCCTGCAATAATAATTCACAGCATCGATCTCCATATCCTACTGGGCACACTCCAAGTAATCCCACTGGTGTGGGCAAACAGAACTGAAAAAAGTTACAAAAAGACAACTTCCACCTGAAGAATAATCAGAGGTCAGGCCTTTTCAGCCTGGAAGAGATTTTTTGTGATACATCAGTACACACACAGCTTTTTCGTGTTTCCCTGTGTGTCTGCTAACAGGCACAGTCACAATGTGTAGGGAAAATCAGCATGACAAAACTCCCTGCACTGCTAGAGAAAGTGATAGTTATTCACAAATCTTTAAATTCATTTTACCACTCACTCTCTCCCAAGTTCCAACCACTCACATTCTCATATTCACAGACCCACAACAAGCATTTGGAGAAATACCACTTGGATACAACACCGAGGATGAAGGTTGCCAGCTATCAAGGCCTCACTGCACCTCCAAGATTGATCCTGTTTGGCAATGGTGAACTAAGTTTTGGACAAATGTTTTACACCCTTCAGGACTCAACAGTTGTTTAGAGGGTAGTTCTTTGCTCCAGTGTTTTACTTTAGTGCAGACTCAATAAATAGCAGACCTACAGCTCACTATCTCTCCATGACTGTTTTCATGGTGGAGGAACAGGAAAACAAATGGCACATAAGATATGGGACACAGGCATGTTGCCCTCCTTCTGTAGTTCAGGAGCAGGGTCTGCTCTTGATGAATCATTCATGCTCCTGCTTATCAGTGTAGGCCTTGCCAAGCCCATCATCTTCAGTTTTACTCCTGACAACAGCTTCCTGGAGAACTGTGGTTTTCCACATTATTACACAGCATCCTTTCAACCCCTGTCCTCTTGTTTCTTTTGCTGCTTTCACACATATACAGTTCTACAGGTGTTTCACTCGTGAGTCTTTATATTTCCACTACAAGTCTCTGGAGCACAGGCCTAACAGGTCTTTGATCTGACCCACTACAATCAATTAAAGATTTTCCACACCCTCCCTGCCAGCCTGCAAAAGCCATAATACAGCCTTGCCCACGGAGCTGTTACCTTGCATTCTACACAACCAAAATTACTTGCTCACTTTCTACATTAGATCTTTGTAGGAGCATGTTAAAAAGAAATATGAGCTGTCCATGTTTCTCTTCAGGCTATTTACTACCCAGGGTGAAGCAGTGAAAAGAGAATCACAGAATTGTTAGGGCTGGAAAGGACTTCTGGAGATCATCTAGTCCAAAGCCCCAACAAGGCAGGGGCACCTAGAGCGGATTATAGGGAAACCTGTCCAGGTGGGGTTTGAATGTCTCCAGAGACGGAGGCTCCATGACCTCCCTAGGCAGCCTGTTCCAGTGCTCTGACACCCTCAATGTAAAGTTCTTCCTCATTTGAGGTGAAACATTTTGTGGTTCAGTTTACGGCCACTGCTCCTCGTCCTACCTCTGGGCACCACTGAGCAGAGTCTGGCCCCATCCTCGCGGCAGT